ACAGGAGCTGAATGCAACCATGTTCTTGAGGTGTTTGTACATTATATCATCATTTTAACCATGCCTGTCCACTACAGCTAAAGCGTGTCTGTCCAGAACAAAATGGTTCATAAAGATAAAAAAAAAAAAAAATGTCTCTTTACTTCTAACTCTTATAGTAGCGTGAAGAACTTTCTAGGAGGATTTGGAAGTATTGTTTGTGTGACAATCTGATGAAAGAAAGACACATGGCTTCACAAAGTGGACTTCACAGTGTAACAAGGATTTCGACGGACAGAAATGCTGAAAACATGAAAATGATAAATGTACTAGTCAAACATTTCAATGATAAAGTTAAATAATCATAATACACACTTGTACAGTTATATAATGATAAGTAATGACATCATATTTGCAGCAAAACACCGACAGGGACCATTTGGTCAACATGAAGTTATTTGATGTCATAAGCTGTGAGAGAATAATGCTGACAATTGATAAACTTAAGTTTTTAAATGCGGTACTTAAAGCAGGATTTAAGTCATTTTAAAATGATGTGATTTGACTTTAAGTAAAGAAAAGGATCAGACCACGTTTTCCTTTTCTTTAAGTCATCATATCAAGATCAACCAGTTGAAGCCAGAACCTAAGCGTATGAGGCGTCAGCGATTTTAAATCCGAGATTAAGTGGCTGCTCAATACAAGAGTGTGACTTGAGCAACAGATCCTTCTCCTGTGGCACACTGAAATGACAAATACTCTTAATGTGCTGGCCTAAAATGTTCATTAAGTTGTTTTAGTTTTCATGCAGTTCTGCTGAATGATGGTTTTATTATCTTATTTTCAAGTTCTGATTTAATCATCTTTGTTCTCAGCAACAGTCAGTACTTTATAGTCTTCAAAGGTGGATGTGACAGACAAATAACAGCAGGCAAAACATACTTCTTTACTTTTTTCTTTCTTGTATGTCCTGGATTTCCTGCATGGTGTTTTTGTAAGCAAATGACCAGAGTGAGAATGTGTTGATAAATCTTTGCTGTAGAGAACTTCAGAGCGCTGTGCACGGGCGAACATGGCTTTGGTTACAAGGGATCAACTTTCCACCGGGTGATCCCCAAGTTCATGTGCCAGGTGAGCTTTTCTACTTTTCTATTGTGTCCTTTTGTTGCTCTTGCAGTACTTACAGTGGTGTGTGTGTGTTTTTCAGGGTGGAGATTTCACAAATCACAATGGAACTGGAGGGAAGTCGATCTATGGATGGAAATTTCCAGATGAGAACTTCAAGCTGAAGCACACTGGACCCGGTAATCATCCCGTTCTGTTCGCACAGTGATGCTAATGAAGGAGGAATTCTTTGTCTCTAGTTTTTCATTGATTCTGAGAATGAACAGCTTCTGAGGATAGGTCTTCACTAAATCTCAAATCAGTCTCTTATTATAGCTCAGTGCAGATTATAATGAAATGTACCATGTGGGATATATTCATTTCATTTTATTTATTTAATTACGACAGTGCACATTAATCAACATGTCAACAAAATAGTATCCATGTAAATATGCCGGATAGCACAAAAGCTCATTTTCATCCGTAGTCCTGAGGCAGGTACTAACAAAAAAACCTAAAACAATTGTACAATTACATGACAGTTTGAACAGAACGACACACACAAAAAGCTCACAGACAATATTACAAACAAATGAGACGCAGTCACAAACAAATTGGCCGCTGTCGTTGCATAATAACTAGCAGGCCCTCGTGTAATACACACAAAAAGAAGTGCACAGGACATTGTGAAAGTACTCAGGCCAGTGTAACCTCACGTGCAGATGAGCTTCCTGCTGTGTTTTCAGCGAGTCTTTTTTTTAACAGTTTGAAACCCAGCTGGTTACAGATTTAACTCATTTCTGCACTTTACTTCAAATGTTGACAAAAGTATGCAAAAGTGTTAGCTGCTGAGGAGTATGATACCTAAACATATATTTTATACCTTTACAAGAGGGGAACTCAAAATACAATGTACATGTAGACATAGTCTGTAACTGCTATTCACTTCTTACACGTTTTCAAATGTATTTTTTACCACCACCAGGGGGCAGCATTGTGTTGTTTCAAATGAACAAACTGGACGTTTTAGTTGATTATCCTTAAATGTGCTTTTAATAAGAGACTCACTTGTGTTATTGATTATGCTGAGTTAATTATGTGTTTACAATAAAATATAACGTCAACATTGGCTGTTTGAAAAACATGACCGTGTTATGCATCTGTATCCATAGAAACAGGGTCTCTTAAAGAATAGCAGCTCATCGGAACCCAGCTGCAATTCATTTCATTATTTAAACCTTTGCTTTTCCTCCTGTTAAATGTCAATATGACTTCTGTAATACACTAAGTTTTACACTGCTTGATAATGATTTTGTTGCTCCATCGTAGGTATTTTGTCTATGGCCAACGCTGGTCCTAACACTAATGGATCCCAGTTCTTCATCTGCACCGATAAAACAGAGTGGTACGTGCTAACCTTTGTTTTTTAAGTCTTCCTGGTGGGCCCTGCAAACACTTGACGATTTAAATACATTGTGTAAAATAGGGAGCTTGTCTTTTTTCTTTTCAGTTCTGTAAGTCAAGGTTGAGTTTTATTTATTACTTTTTGTGTATTCAAATCATTACTAACAAACCCAAGATCCAGACATGAAGTACTTCAAATTGCAACGAGACATAATGATCTAGATGTTGGTAAATGATTTCAGTAGGGAGGAGCCTCCTTACTCACCACAGCTATGAAAAAAGTAACACTCTTTTATATCTGTAATGTGTTCAATAGATTTCATAAACTTGAATAGTTCTGGATTGCTATCCAACTAAAAAATACTGCTACCTGTGGAGGGCTTTGGTTTTTATAGCATCTTAAGAATTTGGTTTATGTGTCCTTTTTTATTAAAAAGTCATTTCGGATGTTTTTTTAAAGACATAAGAAAGAAGGTGATGCTTTTGATGATAGCCTGAAATAGCAGACTCTCTGCAGAGATTATGGATTGTTTCGCTGTCTGGGGGCAGAGATAATACACCTCCTCTCTCTCCATTTAGGCTGGATGACCGACATGTTGTCTTTGGCAGCGTGAAGGAGGGAATGGACGTGATCAAGAAAGTGGAGTCTTTCGGTTCCCAGTCTGGGCGCACCTCCAAGAGGATCACTATCGCAGACTGTGGAGAGCTCAAGGAGGCTCCATGAGAGCATAGGACACGGTCGTAGTCTCATCTCCTGCTGCTGGGATTTAAATGGGAGCGTCCGAGTGAAAGAGGCTCTTTCTTCAGTCATGGTGCAGAGTGCTGCCTCTCCTTACTGACGGTCGCTTTTATCAGACTCCCAATCAGTTTTTCTTTAGGTACAAACATTCTGTGTTTCTTCAGGTAACAATTAACGCACCAAACTGAGTCAGGCCATAAAATGTGAACTAGTATAGTAGAATACAAAATCGCGGGTTGTATTGTTTTTAAGAGCCATAATTCATTAACATACACTGGTGTGGGAAAGAGGCATTTATTTGAAATAAATAAATATTTTTTTTGCTAAACATTTCTTGTTCTTGCTTTTTTTTTCCTTCATGAACTTAAAGTTCTTATTAATTTATAAATATTTCAGTCTATCACTGATGTGGAAATCAATCATGAACTGACATACAGTATCATCAGAGTTTATCTGAAAACTTGTTAGCATTCATCTGTTTTGCACAACCAGTGTGTGTAGAGCAGGAATTTATACATTTGTGCTATTTAGCTCCATTTGTAGCTTGTTTCCATATCCCATAAACCGTATATAAGTCAATCTCTTGATTTCTAAAGTGACCTGAAATGGGGAATTAATTTAACCTGCATTCTTCAGAATGGCCAGCAGGGGGCAGCAACACTTAACGCAAAAAGGATGTTATGATTCTATTGAACCAGATGTGAAAACAGTCACTTCTTACTTGATTTAGACCTTGATTAACATTTTATTTTATTTCATTATGGTCTCCTTAAGAGTACAATCAAATCGACGAGCTACCTTACCACCAGGAAAGAGTTGTAGAAATTCTTACCAATCATGTTGTCTTAACATGACTGACATCATTTCTTTAGGCTTAAAAAAAAAACCGATATGGAGACAGCTAAAATACCAAATTCGAGATGTAAAAACAAGTCCATAAACCAAAGAGTGACAACACATGGCTTCATCCACTTCTCTTAGAAAGTCTGTGGCCACTACAAACATTCAAGACTAAAAAATGTTGTGTGACCACCATGAGAGTGACTCATTCAGAATCTTAATGGTCCCACAAGGGGAGATTTGTTTTGCAGCAGGAGCACACAGAAGACAGCACATACAAGGACAACATCAACAATAGAATCCAAATAGTAAGAAGACAACAGAACAAGAAAAGAACACATAGAAAGATTCTCTCAGGAAATGTTTGCCCTTGAACAACTGGCTGACATTGAGCTGTTACAGTCAAAGGTGTGCCCTGTTACTGGAGGGGAAAGCCGATATTTTATCACCATCTGGGTGAATGAAATCAGACTTGCGTCACTCTCCTCGCCTCCCTCTGTTTTCCTCATCAGCCTCAGTTGACAGATGTTCTAAGTATTGGACTGTCCAGGGGACTTAAGGTGTACAATGTCGAGATACATTCTTTCCTGAGGGGTTCAGCTTTTCTTTTACTGTATGTTCTTCCAGCGCTGCTATAGACGGACACCAAGCCAAATCCGACTTTGCTATACCAGATGTTCAAAAAATATTGACATCAAGATTCTGAGAATATGAGTGGGGGATAAACATGTGTAACATCTGGATCGGTTTATGTTGACAAAAATTGATTTTATCAGTTGTCAAGTATACAGCCCTGTGTGGACCCTCCCTAAACCAAACCCCTAATGCAAAACTCCTGATTTAACAACCGTCATCTTGTGCTTTAATTCTTTTACAGGACACAGAAAAAAAAAAAATTCTGCAGAAGAGTAAAACAACCAGAGGACACACAGAATAAAGTGTTTAAATCGTTTTTAATACAAAACTTTTTTTTTATAGAGATCAACATCAATCTCAGGGGTCACTTATAAGGCACATTAAAATGGTGTTTCACACTTTTTAAAACAGCTTAAAGTCATAGTAAGATTTTGTTCCATAGTCATTTAACATCAAAAGAGCACTGAAATACAAAAAGCCCTTAAAGCAACACGTAGCCTTCCACTTAATCCTTCATATTACATTCACATATGTATTCCCTCTTCATGTCATGGCACAACCCCAAAAATAAAAACACTCTGGCGAGTCCCTTAGCACTGGGTGCTGGAATATAACAGCTGTAATTCAATCTAATGTCAGGGAATCAAAAGCTTCCACCTTATTGCATTTGGTTACAGTCTAGAAAAACTTCTCACTGACAAACTAACCGAAAGGTGAGCTAGATTTGGGACTGAAATTTGAAAGTTTGAGAAGTTAATCAATTCTATGCTATATTCACTTAACTTAATACAACAACTTAATTCAAAGGAAAAAAATGGGTCCCTGGAACACTGTTTGGAGCGAAAAAGCTACCAGGAGCTACGGTTTCACTGTTGAGGGCCCATCACTAGAACTTCTCGCATAGCATTTTATCTTCAAACAGTGTTACAGGGCAAAATGTCCCTCTTAGGACAGTTTGTATATAGAGTTATGAACATATACCACAGAATCTGTGTCTGCAACTGTCACAGTTCTCTACCAAAAACTCCATAGTGCACCTTTAAGCACAACTGAAGACTTACAAGCACATATCTTAGGAGGAAAAACTGTTAGTTTTCTTGCTCATATATTCCTTCACAAAATGTAATAAGTCAAAATATATTCTAAAAGTATGCACCCTCAAGTACTGATAATACAGATAACAATACAGATATACATTTATACTGCATATCTTATTTTAGTAAAGACCTGTTGCATATTTTATACAGAAAACATTATTATAAGTTATTTCTGGGATATACAAACATGTTATAAAGACACTTCACTCACGAACTGCAGTGAATGAACATGAGTGAGGACAGTCACAAGTTTCTTAATTCACAGTCGAAAAGATTCTTGGTTCCTTGTTAAGACTCTGAGGGAAAATATACATAATAAAAGTCAGAGTCAGTTACCTTCAAATGAAAAGTAAAAACTCTCCCTCATTGGCAGACACTGTAAAAAAGAAAAAAGAAAAGAAAAAGAAGAGCCTTTTATGCCAAGAGTCACAGTTTCAGAGGTTTTTTTTGTGACTGAAAATGCATCACAGTAAAATAAAGTTCTTTATCTTGTATTTTTTTAGTCATTCAAATAAAGCTATTCCTTATTGATAAATCTTTGAAGGGGTGTTTTTAAGGAGGGTAGAGTGTTATTGGTCACGGCGGCAGTAGTAGCCGAGGACTTTGCATTTTTCACACAGGTGCTGCGGGTGCTCTTTGCTCTGGTCAGACACATCCAACCCGTCAGGCTTCTCCAGAGGCCGCTGAAACAAAACGAAAAGAAAAAAATACAAACTATTATTCGGCAGCAACAAATCCTTAACAGAGTCCAAAGGATTTCAATAGACTTTTCAGTCAAAAAGTACAGATGAATTCAGAATGATGCTTTAGTCAAGGCTAATGTCTCTATTTGATACTTTAATTTAAATTCAAACTGAAATCACATTTTTTTTCCCCATAAGAATGACATTCCTAGCGCTTAGTGTAGACAATTCTGTCCTCGTGTGGCGTGTGTCCTCAGAGTGATTTGTATTGTTGTATTGTTTTTGAAATCCTAGCTACATCTATGGATAATTTTACTAAATCTTAACTTCATTTTATCAACATTTCAGTAATGCTATACAATCACATCAAATGAATCTGTATTAAGATCCAAAGCTGCACGGACATAAAGACAGAGTTCCAGTTATAAGGTAAGGAATGATTGCTGTGTTAGATATTTGTGGACATGATTTTTAGACCTCTTAGATGATATGACAAGAATTTGCCGCACTACTCAGAAAGAGTGGAAAGAGTTTGGCGGTCAATAATGGGAAATGTCAAAACATGTTGTTTATATAGTGAGGAGTTGTCGCCATGTGAAGGTTCGTCTTTACACCTTATTATTCAACATGTAAAATTATTTTTAAATTTGCACATGGTAAAAAATAGCTGCTTAAAAAAACACTCTACCTGTTATTGTGGCCTACGTGTAACTATCAGATAATATATTTTAAATATCAGGAAACAACGTGGTCAGAGCAGACATATAAGTGTTCCAATAGAGTGGGTTATTACCCCTGTGGTTGGATACAAAGAGCTCAAATCAAACATTTGGTTTGTTTAAAAAGCAGCTTTTGGTCTCCAGGGTCAAACAAAATGAAGTATATCTTGAAACACTCAGACAAGCTGGTTTGAACTGGTTCACCCCGAAGCTGTCAGCAGTGAAGACGATTTTTTTTTTTTTTTTCCTGTGAGGATTGGACGCCATAGTTTGCTTAAAGTGAACAAAAGCTGTTCCACTGCCTTCTGGCCACACTGTTACCTGTTTATGAGGGTAAACGTTGATGTGGCACTTGATACATTCTTGTCCCATGTTGGCCCAGGAGTTCCCGCTCATCCACTTCCTCTTGCATTTAGGGCATTTGTATTCACCGAAGCACCGCTTCTTCCCCTGATACGGGGTCAGGCCTTCACCTTTGGGTCGAGCCTGAAAAGAAATACACAAGAAAGCAAAAACCTTTACATCCCTGACATTATGTTACACTCATTCAGAGCTTCCCTTTATTGCTAAAATTCTACAAAGTATGTGCACAAAAAGGGGTTCTGAATGAAAAGTTGACAGAGCACATGAATACAGTATGAAAAAAGGAAAATAGGGATCTTTCCAACAATATGACGTTTGACAATTTCAGACATCACCACCTCTGACTTGAGGATATTCACAGACCTGCTTGATTGTTTTGGACTGCAGCCGATTGAAAGCACTGTGTGAATAGAACTAGATGTGATAGCAGCCCTGTTGGTGTTCCAGAGTATCGAGTTTATGGAACAGTTTTGTCTCAGGAATGAGATCATTATTAATGATGATTAAAGTTCAAAAGCTCATGTTCTTTGATACTTGATCAATACTTATGGTTCTTGTATGTTAAATGGACACCTTTTATCTATTACAACATGCAAATGTAGACACTTAGAAGAAGAAGAAAACAACGTCTTTCCTCCCATTTTTTTTCCTGAGGAAGTTGGAAATATTGTTCTGGTTAAGTGCAATTTATTTGTTGGACAGAAATTAAGGAGTCTCAGCTTTCCCATTAGAAATGAGCTCCCTCCCTCCAGCTGTGCTCCCGAGGGACCATAAAGGAGGCCCCGGCCCGTGGGGGGGACCAATGGGAGAGGCCTCCTTGCTATAGGACAAATACCTCAGGCTCTCAGTCATCCCTCCCAGTTGGCCTTGACCCACCAATCAGGACATGCGGATGTTAGCAGGGAGGAAATAAAACCCAGATGAACTCTGCACTTGTATAATATGACAAAATTCAAAGCCCATCACGACGAAATCATCCCGACAAGACTGGTTTAAATTAGCAGCACCTCAACTGGAAAGTAGGGCAAATCAATGACGATTGAAGAAGCAACCCTATAATATTGTTTTCATTTGACAGCAGGAACATATGTCAGGTTTAAAACTTTTTGCAGCCCATTTTATTTATTCCATGCACTACATCAAGTATGTTCAGTGTTAAATCTATGAAGAACATTGAAGCCTGTATTTTCATTATCTGGCCACCATGAGGCACTGTGGGAGGTCACTTTTATGGCCTCAAGCACCTACAGGGAGAGCAGACATGGAGCATCATCTTCCTGAGGGAGGAAACAGCTTTCGCTCTGCAGAGCAAGCAAAACAAACTCTACCTAAGGTCCGGAGCTCATAGGCCAGCAAAGGGCATGGCACAGGCTGGAGTTTCCACCAGTCCCCTAAAAGATGTGACAGGGACAGCAAACAAATGGAATCCCACTTCTGACCCTGACGTTAATAGACACTCTTGTGCAAGGACAGAAAGTTTGAACGAATGCTGAAAAAAAAAAAAAAAAAAGGTTCAGTTATTAGCTGGTACTTGCGGCTTTTTTCCCGTTGAAATATGAAGTCATTTTGATGATTACATTTAGAAAATATATGACAAGAATATTATCCTAGTTGTGCAATAAGTATAAATAAATGAATTAAAAAATTGGTATCACTGAAACATCACTTTGTTCTGTATGAATAGAATGTGACAACAATTTCAAGAAAATTCCTCGGCAAGATTTACAATCTACAAGGAGGAAGCTGTCATATAACATAATATAGTCAAACCTAACTGGAAATCTGGAAATCAACATTGATTAAAATGACAATATCCAACTTACGGCCTACAGATAAATCAGTTTACTTCATTTAAAATCTTTGGAATTGTGTCCTCTAGAGATTACATTGGATCAGTGTTTGATTTCTTGGTTAAGATATGTTATTTCAAATGGACTGGATTCTATTTTTAAGGCAAGGTTATACACTTCATAGCTAAAACATGTAACTGGTGAATCTCAAGAAACACTTTCTGATTACCGCTGCTTTGGTGCTTTTGTTTTCACTGCTGATAATGGTCTTATCTGTCCTCAGCCGTTACTGTGTGTTGTTTTTGGCCGGATCATCTGCTGAGGAGGATGAGTCAGATAGAGAGAACCCTGGAATGTGGGGTAGATAGACTCCCTTTGATAAACAGTCGCTGTCATCTGCTGGAACATAATGAATATATAGGAGAGGAACGCTGCAGAGCTCAGGTTTTATGTGGTCGCGTTTTTTAAAGATAAAGTGACGTTTGTCAAACTGGAGGATTTGTTTGTTGTAGATTACAGTTTTCCTGAGGGGAAGGAAGGGGGAAGGAAGGGTTATTTTCTACACTGTTACCTCCTTTTTGTTGAATGTTGGTTGGCAAAAACAATTTTCCTTAAACTGAATCATATTAAAATTGTGTGTTTTTAAGAAGAACATTTTTTGAAGTTGTAACAAATTTTAGGATTTTTTATAATTGTGTTATTTTTAACCTAAATATCCACTGTTGGATTTTGGTAGACGCAACATAACATTTTTAAAATTATGATAAATAAAAAATGTAGGCCGACTGATGCACACAATATTTTTTTGTGGAGGAGCTTAACCAAAATTATAAATACAAATTATTTTTCAGAGTAAATAAAATAAATCTGGGAATTGGCGGAACTAAACCACATTGTGGGATTTGAGGTGTAAGTGTTTTGAGGGAGTTTTAATAACAGATAGTGTTAGATTAAAGACAGAATATTTATTGTCCCTGTTTTTTGGTTCTACAGGTTAAAATGATTATTTGCTGATCACTTTAAAAAAAAAAAAAAAACGTCTCCTGCCACGTTTGCCTGAGGAAGACCTTTTAGATCAAAACTTTGTTCTGTTTAAATTCAAGTTGCTTATTGGGAGCTGAACAGTTTGCGGAACTTTGTCTTTTTTCAGCAGTATTATACGTTGATAAATTGTTTTGTTCTGCGCCTGTATGCATTTTGCTTGGATGTGTCACACCAGTTTTCCCTTTTTGATTTTTTGCACGTTTCACTGCCAATTCAAAATTGACTTGAGAGTTGTAGGCTTTATCCTTTATTTCATTATTCACACACTTTAACACTACGACTGAAAGGATAACTGAACCTCCTTCTGTGAACCCCCAAATCTTTTTGAGAGAATGTAGCCTTTTTGACTTAGCAACAGTCATTAGATTGTTCTTAATTACTCATGCTACCCAAGACAACAGCTAACATTAGCATGTAACCACTTACTAAATATTATTATCATTAGCTAGAGATTAGCTTCAAGCTAAAGTTACCGCTAACTACAAATTGCCTTAACACTAATCACTTCTGGGTACTGTTACAGTATGGGAAAAGCACAAATTCCGAGCTAACAGCAAAATGTGTACAGGATGGCTGAATGCTTACTAGCTTTTGTCTAGCTAATGTTTAACAAATATGTTGTTTCACTTTCAAATGTCGACAGATGTTACTTTGAATTTTCACAATCAACTGGCATTCAGTCGTTCATTAAACAGGAATCTGTTCATTGTTAACGATCATTAAAAGTTCTACTATTAGCCTGATATAAGGGTGAAATGGTCACCAATTGTGATTTTTTTTTATGTACAGGATGATAACTTGATAACTCTATAACTTGTTGCTTCCAACTCCAAAACGATTGATATGAAACAGAGGGAAGAAGTAAATCCTCCAGATGTAAAAAGCAGGGATCAGATTGATGTTTGACTTTTCTGCTAGATAAACACTAAGCAATTGAATGATTCATATTATTGACCTCTTATAAAATTGTCTCCTTTAGAAAAATCTAGCTATTCTACTGCTCTCTATTTACAGTAAATGGAAAGTCATCATTTTGGTGGCATAAACCCTCCTGAATAAAAATGAAAAGGATCACTGAAGTGAACACAGGAAAACATGGGAGACCATTTTCTCTGGATTTCAGTACAGGCATTAGTTTGCTGTTTGGCTTTGGTAACAGCTGGGCTTCTCCCTGATGCTTTGGGGGTCTGATACAAATTAAACCCAGTGAGGAAGAACGCTGTGGGTTTGTTAGTGTGGAGTAATTGACCACATGGTGTCCAATAGGCTTGGTGTTGCTGTGTTCTGCAGGAGAATGTCTCATGGGGGTATGGAAGTGGGGGAAGAGAGTGAATGAGAGAGAGAAAAAAGAGAGGAGGGTGGGGGTGAGGTTTTGGAGTAGTCCATTGTTTATCCTGATGGTTTCCAGATGATGGCAGAGGGAGGCAGCCAACCTCCTGGGCCTCTCTCACCAGGCTACAAGGATCTGGGCCAAGCTTATCTGCTGCAGCCCTAAAATCTGGCTTTACATCGCTCTTTGCACTCTGGGGCTGATTTAAGTTACTCAACTGAAGTTATGGCTTTTGGAAAGGATGAGCTGTAACGCACAATATAAATTGAATTACTATCTTTTTATCCTAAAACAAAACCTTTTCCCACACATGGGTTCAGGCTTTAGGAGTCTAGATCATAAACATCAATTGTTTTGGGACATAATGTGCTATTTCTGCATTTTTTTTAAAGTGAAAAAGGGTCTGAAAATGTTGTGAAAACAAAAAATCATTTGAGCATTTTAGTGATGGTTTTAGGGGTTCATTCTCAGTTTGTCGACCATTTACATAACTGACATGAATGAATATTATTATGACATTTATATTTTGCAATTGGTGGGATAACTTAAATCTTATTGTACATAATAAAGCTGCTCTATACCCTTTTGTATGGCTATTTTACACATTTTACTAGAGATGAAGGACAGTGGATAGAGTCAGGAAGAAAGAGTGGGGAAAGACATGCGGCAAAGGAGCAACAGGTGGGATTCTAACCCGGGCTGCCAGCTAAGGGAAAAAAGATAATTGCCTTTGCAAATTAGATTAAAACAAAACAGTAAAAGTTTGGATCATGCAGATAAACAATCAGCTGAATCTCAGTTAAACTGAAACAATGCTACACCTGGATTGTTGAAAACCAGGGCAGATGGGATTGGGAAGTTAATTCTTTCTTTGATCACAGATTTTGATACAATGTAAATTTTTCATTTAGCAGACGCTTTTGTCCAAAGCAGTATACACCATGATTTAAACTCCACTGGCTATGCCACCATGAACATATTGGGGCTCAGTGTCTTTCATGGATACTTTGACATGTGACTGCAAGAGTTGAAGATTAAGCCTCTAACCTTCCAAGTAAAAGAAGCACCAACTCTTCCACTGAGCTACAGCTGCCCCACTGTCATGATCTAACTGTCTAAAATCACTGTGTTAAAAGAGCTGTGAAACATGAATGGAAATATACTAAATTGAGCTCTTTCCAAAAGTAAATCAATAATATCAATACCACTCCCATGCCTGTCAAAGGCTAAAGCCAGGAAACCCTTAATTTAGTAAAGCATAACGACCCAAAACAAGGGAACATAGCAAAGCTTTTGAATCATTAGATGACAGGCTGATTTCAACTAACTTAAAATGATCAAAATCTGCCATCAGCTTCAGCATCGACAGACCAAATTTAAATCAAGGAATTGCGGCATCGAAAGTTCCAAATTCATTATCAAAGCAGATTATTTCCCTGCATGGAAACTTGATTAAACTGTAACTGTAAAGACATACACCCACTTCCTGTGTCTACCCATTGTTTCCAAAAAAAAACACACACTGGATGCTGACATCTCTTTCTAGCAGCTCACTGGCCCTTTAAACGGTCGTCTGACAGCCGCTCCTCTGCACAGACAGAAACAGAAAGAGACGGAGATGACTGCAGTCAAGCAGAGCTCAGCGAACAATACAGCTGACTTCCTGACCTTTAGTTCCACAGCCCCTCTGGAGAGACAATGCCCTCCTTATTTAGCCCAGGCTCTTCCCACCATACACCCTACTGTCAGCACACTGTCTCTAGTGTTTTCTCTTTACAGTAACCAGGATCAACTACTTAATAAATTAGGGGCCATTCAAATGATGTGACCCTGGGTTAAGGGCTAAAAGGTGTTGAAGACACTGAAAGCCAAAATAAAAAACTGCTTTTTGTGTGATGTTGGGTCTTATGGTCATAATATTAAGTATATAAATTATTACTAATTGGTGTAAAAACAAATTTGAAATATTGTTGATAAAGTTGTTTTTGGGACTTAGTAATATTGTATCAGCTTGATTCCAACATTTGTAGTCTCTGTCACATCTCCTCTAAACTGCCCCCACTGTTCATGTGCATACTCCATCTTGCACCACTTCACATTTATTTTTTAGAAAGTTCACAGCCGATGCGCCAAAAAAATGCATGGCGGACAAGACAGTCATAATGAACACGCGTATGTGCAGTTAAAAGCAAATATATTTCTGTCTAAAACTGCACAGACACTGATGTTGAGTTCAGTCAGCTGTTTTTTTTTTAGTGTGCAGAATTATGGATGCATTGTTTGACTGTGTGAGTTAAGTGTGGCCATTTTTAATCTGTTTTCAATAGAGGGTGTTCAGCGTCTGAAGGGGAAGTTGAGCTCTGTAATTATATAGGGTTAGCTAACACAGCCAAAAGCCAACATTTAGCACTGCATTCGTCGCTTTGAGACAAATTGTATGCGCTAACTAGTGAACACTTAAATAATTTTTTTAGTGTGCAGAATTATGGATGCATTGTTTGACTGTGTGAGTTAAGTGTGGCCATTTTTAATCTGTTTTCGATAGAGGGTGTTCAGCGTATGAAGGGGAAGTTGAGCTCTGTAATTATATAGGGTTAGCTAACACAGCCAAAAGCCAACATTTAGCACTGCATTCGTCGCTTTGAGACAAATTGTATGCGCTAACTAGTGAACACTTAAATAAATCATTTTCAGATGGAGAGGTTTCTGACTTTTCAGATGTATCAAACATACAATTTTGGACTCAGTGACAGTGATTGTAACATAAACTATAGCTGTGTGTAGAGCCAGGCAGGTGTCTAGGATGCCACACCAGTTGAATTTTGTCAAATTGAAATATGTCTGCATTTTTTATCATTTCAAGCCCAATTTCCAGAGGCCTTTAATCTGCAGTACATTTAGGTATTTGGTAGAACTTAAACATGAATTTACATTTAAAACAGTAAATGGTGATCATTTTTAGATGAAAGTTTTAATGAAGCCATTATTCAGTGTACCATGCAATAGGACACCAACAGTGTAGCAGCAGTATGTATTTGACTTTTCTGGGACTTAAAATGCCTCAGATTCCAGCCATGACGAACAAAAAGCAGTTTGTTCATTAGTTACAGCTTCAGAGGGATGGTCAGCACAGTTTCAACTGAAGAGGCCTGTTGTCACACCATCGGCACTCTAATAATTTATTTGGGTTTGAATTACTAGCAACACATGATACAATCTGACATCATCCCCCTAAAGAAGGGCAGGAGCAGGAGAAAGTCAGTGAGCAGAAATGGTTTCCAGATTTTGCACATTTTAAGGGGTGTGGCTGCAGAGACGAAATCCTAAATATCTCCGAAAAATACTTTGACGTCTTAACCTTTTAGTGAAGCAAGTAACCCAACTCTCCGCTTTGCTGTCAACAGGATGTTTACTGCTTGCAGAGCACAGCGTGGACAGCATAACTAATGCCTTTCAGGATAGTATAGACTTGAGCTGACACTTTTCATCATTCTTCATCGCTTTCCCTGAGGTACCATGTGTTTCTTTATCAAAGGAGCAGACTTTGAGAGTTGACTTGGGCCCCTTTCCACCCAGAGTTAGGCTGTTAAAGGACCTGCACACCCACTTCCTGTGTGCTTCTTCTCTCATCTTACTGAGCCGTGACTTTCTTTGATTCCTGTCCACCGCAGCTCCAGTGAAAATCAGTCAGCTATCTAGTGCACAGAAACACTGCTGCTAATGAGATTCTATATATATCTTTCTGTAAAGAAAGGCGCTTTAAACATGTCTTTTTGCAGTGTTTTGCTTAAAACAGGTGTATACTCAAAAATAAATAAAAACTAACACACTGCCACTTGTCGCATTGTGTTAGCTTTACAATTTGAGGGTTTTGCTCTTCCTCTCAATGTTGAGACATTGTGGTACAATCACACCTACTTTCAGGGATGCAAAGCTGGCAAATATTAAGACCTATAAGCAAACATAATTATTTTCTCAACATTCCTTACATTCCTTAACTGTCTGCATTGGCTGCTTCACTACACCAGTCGCTTGTCTGTTAGCGCTTTAGAAAGGCAATAAGCTTTCAAAGAAGGCGTTTTGTAGATCACGTTTCTTTTAATGGACAAAGTGATTAACTTCCTTATTTCTACCCTTGTGTTTTTTTTTTGTTAAATGTATGTTTTCTGAAATATTTTACTTCTCATGCATGCAGAGTAACCTGGAAAGTGTAGCTCAGCAGACTGGAAACATAGGCCAAAGCCTAGCATGGCTCGTTTTTAGCTAAGAAAAAATCCTTTGCAAGCAACTCTAAGAAAAAAAACAAAAATAATATATTATTCCCTGAATTTGTAATCTTTATAAAAATGGACTATAATACTTATAAATTACTTTCTGTGGGGTGGTTATTTTCCCTTGAACAGAGCATGTAGAGCTAACTCCTACAGTTGCTAATTCTTCCTCTACTTCCTCCTTTTCCTAAGCTAAGCTGATGGGTGTTGCTTCATTGACATTTTACAGGAGTAAGAATGAAATCAATTTTTCTTATGTATTCGTTTTAGAAAGGAAGCAAGTGTACCTTTTCAAAATGTCTAACTCTGGCTTTCAGCTCACGCAGACAACGTTCAACACACAGCTAAAAATGAGGCTAGCTTTTTCTTGAATTAAATACTTTACATGTTAATAGATTCCAGTAAATTCCAATAAATCTATTGTAACAACTACTTATTTTGTTGAGAAATTGACAACCTAGTTTAAAACGTGGCATTCAATAAATGTTATAAAACGAGCTAATTCTCTGTTGGCCCCAAAAGGAAGACATTACACTTTACTTTAACCTTGTATAATTGAGCAGTTAATTATTACCCGCTAATCGGAATTTCAACTTTTTGCTTCCTTGCTCCTTGGACACATCCTGACCATCAATCATCTGATTATCTCCATTATACCTAACAAATGTCAGGCATTTCCCTCTGAACTTGATCAATGGCGAAGTGCAGCTGTGCATGAAGCAGTGGTCATATTTCTTTCGTGTTTGGAGTAGAGGCCATGCCTAGTTCCACAGAGAAACCTATCATCTTTCATTAAGGCCAACTCCGAGATCCAATCTGGCATCTGTTGCTCATTACTAACCTGCGGTGGCACATCTAACTCAAATATGTGCTGAGGAGTCTATTTCTCACCAAAAAAAAAAAAAAGAATACAAATGTGATTTTAGCTCCTGGAATTTTAGGTTTTCACACCACTGAATGTAAAAAAGGGGGTTATACAGTCTGGCTACATGAGGATAGAGTTTGCACTGAGAGTCAGATCAAATGTGTATCTTATTAACTTCATGATTTTCTGCATCATTTGCTTTTCAAAACACCGTAGTTCCTTACATATACATGTGTTTTAGTTTAGGGTTGGTGCCTATGTGAATCCGGACTTGAGTGATGTACAGTATCGCTGACTGGCTCACCTGAGGGCAGTCTTTGATGTAGTGTCCTTTGTTAAAGCAAAGGTGGCACAGGTAGTTGGGTGGCGGCCTTTTGCTGGGTTTGCGTGCCTCGGGGGACAGGGAGAGGTCTGAAAAATGGTCCGCCAGAGAGCTCAGGCCGTCCACGATATTGCTGAGGGACCCGTAGGGCGAGGAACTCTTGTAGAAGTTGTTGTTGTTCAAGGCCTGACAGGGAAAAACAAAGAGTGAGAGGCTAAGTCCATTGCAACTGAAGCATGTTGTCCAAACATTGAAATATGGTAAAGACCTTTAAAGTAGGGCTGCGGCAAACCATTTCAAACAATGCACAATATCCAGAACTTCAGGCCATTCGGTTGCAGATAGCTGTCCACTAATAAATCTGGTTCTGCTCAAGGTTTTGGCCTGTTTAAATTGAAATTGTATTTTTGCCATTTTTTCATTGGTGGATTAATGTTAAGTCTCTGCACACCGTATAATAGTACAAAGAGTCAGACCAGTTCTTAATGTGAATGTTTTCCAGATAACTTTTGTTGTAATCTAGCACTTTACATTTTAATGTATTTATTGTCATAATCTTGTTAGAAATGGTTCTATCAAACCATAGATGCAAAGAAATTTAATTTACAGATCCATAAAAGCAGTATGATCCTATATAGGAGTAGCTAATGCCTTACATGTTTTATTGATTAATATAGTAGAGAGTCAATGTATTGTTCTTAACTAAAATGCTGTTGTTAAACTGATCAATAAATCAGTGCTTCCCTTGAGCTCGACACAAAAGTATCTCTTATTTCACAACACACAGAACATGACTGTACGATGAAAGAGCAGTTCAGCCAGCAATGTCAGTCCATCACCCTGATTGATTCTGTTTTGTCTCCCTGACAGTAGCCGACATTATGTCATTCCTGCAGATGTGCTGCCTTTACTGCATTTACACTGTGGGCCAATAGTGTCCATTTCCTCATTAGAACAAAAAGCCTTTGTCGTGTATTCTTCTTTCTTGTTCTATTGGCTCGGCACAATCATCATCTTTGTGCCTTTGGAGGAGATGGGTGCTATGGCACCGCAGGGCGAACATGTAGGAACAGCCTGAAGACACTGGCTGTTCATTCTGATGGCATCACAGACAGACAATTGTGATCAGATGCATACAGTGAAGTGAAGTGTTGTGCGCTAGATATCAAACTGCTGCATATCTGTGGCACGTGCAATTAAAGTATGCAATTTGAATGGTTTCAATTATTTAAAACTCCTGTGAGGTTTTTAGCTGTTCATGAAACTGACTGAAATTAATATTGATACCTCTTTAAAGACAAAAAACAAAAAGGACCATCATAACAAATGTATGGATTCTATGGGTTTTATATGTCTGTCAGTCCAGCTGCAGGGTAGGTGTTGGACAAGAAATTAACAACACACTGCAGGACAGCCTCAATAAAAACCCAAATTCATTGTAAGTAAGACATTTACATTTAAGACTGGTGAGCTCTTACACATGTACAAGAAGCAAAGTAAAGAGCAAAATCACCCACTATTTCCGTAGCCAAAATCAACACTACCTGAAACTTCCTCACAGCAGCATGAAAAAATTATGAAGGACCTAATATGGATCCTTGAGGTACACCATTTAGGATTATATTTAAAAATACAAATTTCTATTATAAACATAGGAACTAAATTAGTTATGTCCATTAATCCTATGTTACTTTTTGACTACTTCCTTTATATTTTTTTTAGTTTGAATTAGTAGCCTATCCATTTTAGCCACACCAAAACCCACTGTGTGAACACTGTATATACCTCTGACCAACAGAGGCCAGCTGGGGTGAACTCTGATTTTTAAATCCTTGTGAGAGCTCTTTCTTAACCTGCCATTCCTCCTCCAGCTGCAAACTGACACCAGAACAGTCTGAACACACTCAAGCACTATACCAGGGTACAAAACACATATTCATATGCTACCCACTCACCACAGTGCCACCCAAAGGCATGCAGGTGAGGTTTACTGTACATACAACAAAAATAACCTGGAGGGAATTATACGAGTATAATATTCGTGCAAGGAAGTTTTAGACCTGCAGCAAAAAAATTGAATGAGATGATGAAGGTTTCAGCAAAACATGCATGTTATTAACAACCCATGCAAAGTGTACAAAAAAATCTACCTCACTCCTCAGATGGAAGAAGTTGTTGATATAGTTGGAGCTCAAATCAGCAACACTGCGCTTAGAGATGTTCAATTCCTGAGTAGTTGTGTCTGACTCGGCTTTGAACGCATCAAATCCTCCGCTCTGAGTGTCTTGCAAAGACATGTAGACCCAGTTGAGCAGCTGTGCAGGTTGGTACATTGGGGTACCAGTTTCTATAGCGGACATCATGTTGCTGTTTTTTAAAGAGGGCTGCTCCTCTTGGAACAGCACCGTCAAAACTGCCTGATGTACTGGAACAGCAAACTTTTCTCAGTCACCCCCCCCCCCCCCCCCCCCGGTCCGGCTGGGTGTGTGGGATCCTGGTGTTCACCTGGGGAGCCCTCAAGGACCCCCAGAAACCGGAAGACAGTGACAGGGAGCATGAAGCGCAAAAGCTTGAATGATACCAGAGAGCTGGAGGCAGCACTCAAACTCTGCGTTGCGTCACCGTGAAGGAGGTCCGACCGGAGATTCAATCGAGCTGCTTACCTTTCTATTAACACTGATTTTAAAAAATGTAACCTAAAACTTGTTATATTAAGCAGGCGTGTGATATTAATGGTATGCTTATTTAAGAATAGGAGAAACACCAGTTGGTAAGGTTAAATATGTAGCCTAGACTACCACAGAAACTTTGGCCTATCTTATTTCTAAAGTTGATCTCCGTTCTTTATTTTTATGTTTTCTTATTTATTTTTTGTTATATATAAACAAGTAAAAATGCCCTATACTATCAAGTTTGTTGATTGCACAAGACAGTAAAGGGGGTTAGATTTTCCTTGACTGAACATTCCCAAGACACATCTATGAAATAAAACTAGAAAATGTAAAATAAAGGAACTTTTCTAAACTCTCAAATGAATAGTGCTTATTAAACTATCAAAGCACAATTAGTGTTAGTGAGGCTGATGTCAGATTGCCATGTTTTTTCTTCTCCAACTGGATCGTTGAATGTCTTACATGAGTCTATGGTCTCCATCACAAGTTCTCTGCTGCCATCTAGTGTCTTTATTTGATACAGAAATATATTTCTGACATTTATTTTTACAACAGCTGCTATAGTTAACTACCACCTCAATTCAAATCATACAATCACTGTGTTATTAATGAGACACCAATACCTTATGTTTAGATTTGATTTTATAAATTCAAAGCCATACATACGTTTTCATATCTCTAATAAGGATCATGGATCAAAATGTTATAATGTTGGGACCATCTAACTGGGAATACTTTTGGAATTGTGAAGGCAATATTTACTGCAACAGCTGCGCAAAATTTCCAGAGGACAGGCCTTAATAAAAATATATATCTAAAATCAAAAACAATAACTTCCCCCACTTCTGCTTCGCAAAGTAGCATTTTACCAGTCTCAACACAAACTTAGCATAGAATGAAAACAAATTCACAAATTGGAGAACGAAGGCAGAACAAAAACACATTTCACACTTCATCCAAGAAACTAAATCATTCAAATGTATTTACAAACTGAGGTTCAGTTGAAACATGTTCCTGGTATGCATAACAGCATAGTAGGATTACTCAATTAACAGCATCATTTTTAAGAGAACAAAAAAGATCAAATGGGTCATTCTACAGAAACGTCCATTTTTCTGTCCCAAGCCTTTAAATATTTTACTGAAAAAAAACAACCTTTTTTTATATAATTCTTCAAACAACAATTTTATTTGTACAACTACTATACATTTCCTTTATGTGGTGATAGCCACCAAGTCCTGTTAATGCACGAGAGATACTGCAACATGATCTTTCTAAATTTTTAAGGTGTAACAACAGTCAAAACTATTTGAACAGAGTTTTTAAAATCAGACATTCAAGAGATATGTCACAACTTAACGTCATGAAGAAGCCAAGTGGGATTTTCTGGCAAAACTTCACCAACTAACAAGGTTCATGAAGAGTGAACGGCTTGAAGAGGTCAAAATCAACACTACCTGAAACTTCCTCACAGCAGCCTTCAGGCCCAGGATGACCCTGATGAAGGCCACAAGTCGAAACACGTAGGTCTAACTTGTTAATAAAGTTCATCTTAACAAAACAGTGTTGCTGTAAAGCAGTGATCTTTATATCACATAGTGTATGGTGATCGACTCACTTTGGGAGCCAGCCTCAAGTGGCCACTAATGGAACTGCAGTTTTCTGTCATTTATTTTCCATCCCTGAAGAGTGCTGTTTTAAGATGGCTTTTTTTTTGTGTGTTAATAGCATATCAAGAAACATTTTTATAAAACAAAGTGGCTGTATACTAAATATGTCTTGGGGGATTTTTAAGATCTCATCAATATGATCCTTTATTGAAATGAGGGTCCATATAATACAAATGCAATTATAGCCTACATTATTTATGAAGAAAGATACATTTTTTATAATGCAACAATATTAAAATAATATACTTTAAAAACGTATTTTAATTTTTTTTTTTTAATAAAAATGTACTGTTGTTGTTTTTCTAAAGTTAAACAACAGATACTACACATGACAGTGTTGTTGCCGTTTTTTAACACTGGGAAGGATTCTCACTGCAGACAAATACCCCAGGGGTGGAAAATAACTAACACAAGCACAACCCGATGAGTCAACATCACCCTGTCTCTTTCTCTTTCTCTCTCTCTCTCTCTCTCTCTCTGCTGTTTATAATAAACGACCAAAGGTTATGGTGACTGCAGGACGGAAACAATGTTTAGGGCCCACCCACCTCCGGACTACTCTCGCTGCTTCCCTCCGCTGCTCGTCTCTTCCTTGTTCTGAAGTCCCGTGTCTGAAAAGTAAGTAACCCAAATCTTTTGTTGTTTGTTTTGGACTGCAAATAGCCATAAAAACACCACTACTAGCGTTACAGGCGAATACGAGTACATGGAAGTATTTCCTAAATTAAAATAATCTCCCGGTGTTTGCTGGCTTGTCTTCCTGCGTGTGGAATGTAGGAAATTAGCCTCGCCCAATTAAACAGACACAGTCGGTCCGTAGAGCTGTTTTAAGGGTAACGCTGATCGACAGCAACAAACGAAATGCTTCAATAATGTTTAAAGTTTGATGTTGTTTACTGACACTTCGTCTCCCTCAATGTTCAGACTTCACGCTAGATGCTTCACACCTTCCCTTGATAGTGTTATGTAACGTTAACGGACCGCTGGGTCTATGCTGCGCTTGGATGCAAAGAAGATAACAATTTAGCATTAGCTTGGCTTGCTTGTACATGTGTGTATATATATATATATATATATATATGGATTCACTACCCCGGTTAAGCAATTTACTACACAGATTTAGTAGTAGGCCCCAAATCTCAACGTTACAGCAAGATCGCTAGTTGTGAAAACACAGGCCCATGATGCTGAAACTCTGATTAGGAGGATCAGCTGCTTTCAAAAGCCCTCGGAAATTAAGTAGGAGGTCTAAATGTGTACAAGGTCGCGCTGTAAAGTGTTTACAATCCGCACGTCAGTAGCTATCTGTTGCATCCTGATGTATATGAGTGATGGATTCGCATTTTTTTTTCCCCCCTCCCTACTCTTTTCTCATCAAATCACTTGGTCACAAATGTGGGCGTAGTGGAAGTGGTGGTAAATTACGACAAGACTTGAAAGCCTCACGAGTGTTTCCAAGGGTTCAATGAAGAATGCTGGAAACTGACAGGGGAGTGTTACCATACAAAACGCCCTTCAGCTTTGACAGTGTTTTTGTGTGAGTGATTCCGTTCAAAGAGCCCAATGAGGCATCTTTAAAGATACATCTGAACTTTTGCTTAAAATGAACTCAATCACCTTGGATTTTAAAATGTTTATTTTACTGCCAAATATTCTGCATACACCAAATATCCTGCTACTTAGCATTCAGGTACCTGTAGTCACTGAAATTTCCCAGTCCCTACTTTCTTGTTTGCATGCAAACAAAGCAAAAATAATTGCTACCAACCACTGCCATACCTGCTCCTGAGCTAACACAGGAAGCATCTATATGATGACAATCCTATTGTGTCACGGAACATATTTGTGTTGTGTGTGTGTGTGTGTGTGTGTGTGTGTGTTTCTCAAGAAAAAAAAAGAAGGAACTCTCTATACAAAATGATGGTCACGCTCTGTCCCCATCATATCGAAAGGAGATGTAAGTGTTGTGGTGGATTTGTCATAACAGACATGAGGTTAAACAGCCTACGTGGTTTTACCTGAAAGAAACTCAAGTGAGGTAAATTGAAGTAGTTGTGGGTACAGAGTCAAGTGTTTTATCAGGATGGTTTGTTCTAGTATAGATTGTTTATGCGTTTTATAAGCCACCAAGAAAAAACCCAGACTAGATTATGTTATTTCAAAAACATTAGTAGTGTAGTAACAATAATCACCATGGTGACCATTGAAATGTAATCATCATCAACATATTACTGGATTCTATGCTACTGCAAAGAACTACCACTAGAGCAAGGACAAGTTGGTGGTTAATGTAAATGAAAAGAGGGCTCCCCCAGCGAGTCCTGCAGTCCTAAAGAGTCTGAATATACATCAATAACAAGCGACAACATTCATTCACCTCCAGGTCCTAATTAAAGATGAGCTACCCAGGATACCCTCCTCAGTCAGGCGGATACCCCCCACAGGCAGGGGGCTACCCACCTCAGCCGGGTGCGTACCCACCTCAGGCTGGAGGATACCCTCCCGCAGCAGGCGGTTACCCACCAGCAGCCGGCGGCGGCGGCTACCCTCCTGCAGCAGGCGGCTACCCCCACAGGCAGGCGGCTTCCCCCCACAGGCAGGCGGCTACCCCCCTCAGGCAGGAGGATACCCACCCCAGGCTGGAGGATACCCTCCCGCAGCAGGCGGTTACCCACCAGCAGCAGGGGGCTACCCTCCCCAGGCTGGTGGCTACCCTGCTCCAGCTGGAGGCTTCCCTCCGCAGGCTGGAGCAGGAGGCTATCCCTCCCAGCAGCCAGCAGGTGAGGCTCAAAGAGGATGTTTTGAGGCTGTACGGTTCACATACAGAATATTTCCTTAGATGTACTTTTTGTGAAATACATTATATTCTTACAACAAACTAAACATTTAAAATAAATCCAGAAAAGTACATACAACAAACATTATAAATGTGTTCCTTGAAGAATTGCAAGTTGATTTTCTTGTCGATATTTGTCTTGCAGCTGGAGGATGGGGAGCAGCACCAGCTGGCTATGGAGCGGTACATTACTTCTTTTCTTGCCTTCACTAATAACATATGGACACACTTAAGCTAAATCTGCTGTTTTAATCACCCTAACTTCACCAGTCCTACTAATG